GTTGCAGACGAGATTTCGATGCGCATCTCGAGAACACGCCTCACATTTTTTTAGGTTGAGGCACTTGTGGAGTCGCCATGACATTCGTCTCTCGATCAAAGGGCAGGTCTATTATGCAAATGATGGTGCTGTACTGTTTTACTGCTGCGAGAACTCGCCCATTCGTAAAGATGACTTGCGCAGGCTATACGTCTTCGAGCACTGTTGTTTGCGGGCCATTGCCGGTGTGTGGTGGCAGCACCACGTAAGCAATGTGGAAGTTAGACAGTGTGTCTTGGGACATGGAAGGCACTCACTCGAGGAGCTCGTCTCGTCACATCAACTATGGTGATCGGGACATTATTGCGTATATCTGTCCAGAGTTACCCGCGTCGTGCGTTGTTTGTGTTTGCTGAACTGGACTGGAAGAGACGGTTCGGTGGACAGCCTACAACATGGAGAAGCCGTAGGAAAAAGCTGAGGAAACAGTTGGCCTCGGCCAGTTGTTGTCGACTGCCTGGTTGGGGTCCGAGAGATACAGATACTTGATGGTTAAAGACCTTGGAGGCCATGGCTCAAGATTCATGTCAATGACCCCCTAAAAAAGAAAAAAACTGAAAAATTTTCAAAAACTGTACATGGTAAACTGGCCAAAACATGAGCATTTATTGTTGTCGCTCTTATCTTATTCTTCGTACTGTTTTCCTTTTCAGCCATGGTTTTGATGGTACGATATCTGTACCACAGACTGTGTATACTATACATATATATATATATATAATTAACATCTCCAATATTGTTGTGTTAATAGTCGTCCACAACCTATTTATTGCCCCATGCTCTCATACAATACGACTCATTTTTCCTGCTAGGCTTTGGTTTTCTTCCTGCGGTTTTGGGGTGAAGACGTCAGTAGTGACATAACAGAGATGATTTCACTGGACGTGCCTATTCCACCTGAATAGGGAGTAAAAGTTCCTTGCAGCTTAGAACAGCCGCCTGTTATTCAAGGAGCCATACTGTCTCCATACCTCTTTCCCTCTTAAGCCGCCTCGTTATCTGTCCCTGATGACGCGATATTACTGAAAAACGCAGACCACCTGGTCTTGGATATCCAACTTCCGACTGCAGCCACATCAACTAAATTACCAGTCAAGCTGAACAACGTTGGTTTGTGATCCGAAGCTCTTTTTTATCACTGAAGCATTACATTGCAAGAACGTTCTTTTTTCTCTACACTAGGGCCGTCATTATCAGCAACCTCTGAAGGAATGCCCTGGATGAAGTTCAAGTTCAAGTTCAAGTTCAGTTGGGACCGGAACGATAGGATAATCCCGTGAATGTTCCTTCTTTTGCGTATCGTTGGATCGGGAATTGACAGGTCTGCTTGAGATGTTGAAAAGCCTAAAACAAAGACCGCATCACACCCTGTCCAACCAATTACTGCCCACATTTTCCTGCCCAGCAGTCCCTGCCGGGCCGGTTTATGTGAAGTAAAACAGTGAAGGGTAAGCTAAGAAAAGAAGAGGAGGAATGTCAGCTAAATAATGATAACACCAAGGTGGGAAGAAAATTAAAAAAGAACGAAGGGAAAGTTGAAGATACAAGTCGGTTAGGAGAAGGGGAAGGTTTGGTACTGCCACCCTAGAGCATCTAACTGACGCTCGAAACCCTCTACCGTAGACTCCCTAACCACGTGCGCCGGAAGCGAGTTCCAACGTTCAATAACTCGACGCGACAAGCGAGTTTCCGTCCTTACCCGGTCAGAACGCTGTTTGTGCAGCTTCAACGGGTGACCTCGGAGACTAGGCAGCTTGGCGGGACTAAATAGCCAGGACAAGTCTGGACCGATCTTACCCGTTAAGATACGGTAAGTGAGAATCAAGTCTCCTCTAATTCTGCGGTAGTGCATTGAGTACATACCCAAGCTAAGCAAACGTTCGGGATACGTTTGCCCCCGTAATCCTTTCACTAACCTTGTACCCACTCGCAAAACCCTCTCCAGTTCCATTTTGTCCCTTACAAGACAAGGTGGACAAGCCTGGATACAGTACTCTAAGTGAGGTCGCACGAAAGCTGAGAACAGCTTCACAAAGATATTAGCCGTTAGGACACCGAAGGAGCGGCGAATAAACCACATCATACGGAACCCTCTACAAGCAGCCTTCCTCCAATTTTCCCCAGAGTGAAGCAATGAGGTATGGGTGATACCTAGATCAACCTGCTGAATGACAACAGGGAGTTCACTTCCACCAACTACATAGCGCGTGGGGGGACTAGCACCTCCAATGCGGAGGACAGAACATTTCGCCTGATTTATGGGCATCAACCATAAGGTTGACCAATCCCAGAGCCTATCCAAAGCACTCTGAAGTGCCTCAGAGCCACCACGGATATCCACAATATTCCAGAGCTTGAGGTCATCAGCAAACAATAGCGACGGTACTCCAAGCTCCTGGGGTAGGTCATTGACATAAATTGCGAAAAGCAACGGCCCTAGAACCGAGCCCTGCGGAACGCCACTAAGAACAGCTTGTCTAAGCGAAAGGCTACGCCCCACGCGTACACACTGTTCTCTGCCCTCTAGGAAAGCAGAAACCCATTTAAGGGCGGCTCAAGATATCCCATACGATCTCAACTTCAATGAGAGTCGCTGATGTGGGACAGTATCAAAGGCTTTCGAGAAGTCAACGAAAAGCACGTCGATGGCGTGGCCGTTGTCTACTGCCTCAGCCCAGATTTCACGAGCTACAATCAAATTTGTCAGACATGAAAATCCCTTACGGAATCCGTGCTGGGCCGCACTGAGAAGATTAAACTTAATCAGGTGATTCTCCACCGAATCCCTGACCAATTTTTCAAACAACTTAACTACTACGCTTGTTAAGCTGACAGGCCGGTAGTTCGCGGGCAGAACTCTGTCCCCGCCCTTAAAAATCAGACAGATGATTGCCTTCTTCCATTCAGAAGGTAAGGCACAGCTGTCGAGGGATATTGTAAACATGCATGTCAGAGGGCCACTTAGCTCAGCGGCCAATTCATGCATCAGCTTCGGATGAATTGAATCAGGGCCAGAAGCTTTGGAAGGATTTAGCCCTTGCAATAGCCCGAAGACTTGTGTCTCCGTTATGCTTATTTCAGTTAGGCAAGAATCCTCCGGAACTTTAGTGACCAGCTCAACTTGAGGTAGAGAGGCCTCATGAGAAAAGACACCAGTATACTGTTCGCTAAGTATACAGGCATTATCATAGTCGGTATGCCCATGGGTCCCGTCCGCTCGTAGTAAAGCCGGTATAGACGAGTTTGTACCGCTACGTCTCTTTACGTAAGCAAAGAACTTCTTTGGGTTTTTTACGGCTGCGTTAGCCAAATCCTCCTCGTACTGAAGACGAAGAGTTCTAAGATGATGCTTACACTTATTTCTAACCGCTCGATAGCTTTCGTAGGTGCTGGTTGATGAAGCTGCTTGGTAAGTTCGCCAGCACTTAGAGCGCTTCCTGAGCAGGTATTTACCTGTATGATCTATCCATGGAGGCTGCGCCCGTGTCACCCTTCTCTTAGTGAGTGGGATGTGGGGAGCAGAGATCTCAGTGAGGTACGCTTTAAATTTCTCCCAGGCTGTCTCAACGGTGTCAGCCACGGTGATCACACAACGCAAAACTGAAGCTTTGGCTCGTATTGCGTTAAAGTCTGCCCGCCAAATATTTGGACATGCCTCAGCGGTAGCTTGATGACACTTAGTTAGAGCACATCGAAAGGATATGCAGACATGGTCACTGGCTCCTAGAGGACAGTCGTAGGTAATATCACTTACGAAATCGTGTGACTTCGCAAAAATGAGATCGATGTAGTGATATTCCAAAACCGACCTCTGGTAACATTCTTGTGTCTAAGTATGCCAATTCATGCACAAGGGCTTGCTTCAAAAATACTCATCGATGCAAGCCACGCTCGTTATGGTGCACTGTCTGACTGTGTATCAACTTCCTCAAGCAAGCAGAGTATTGATCCATTTAATCTCGTATAACTGCTTAGCACTTATCAATAATTTATATTTGGCGCAGTTTTTGGTGACCAGACATCCGCTGTCCAGTTTGTCTCCGTTGTATTGAGAAGTTAGTGCTTGCTTCTAGTCAAATAAGACCGATATGAAAACGTTGAATACTCAACTAACCTGCAGCCCTCTGGTTAATTTATGGTGCTCGATTAATCAGCATTCTGGTAGGGTATCAGTTGCTACCCAGGAACAAGAACGAACTAAATTGTAACCGATGATAGCTGCTTATTTGGATGCTAACCTGTCGGCTACCACCCACTTCATGCGAATTGGAAGCCGGACGTCATACGAGCCGAGTAAAAGCGCTACTAATCCACGCATCTGTTAGGTTCTTTGGCATTCGATCGAAAACGCTCACGTCGCGTCGTTACATTACTGTGGTGGCTACAGGGTGCAAAACTACTATTTACCACCAGTGATACTTGGGTGGAGGCTCATTTGCTACTCGTTATAGGACATGGCATCAAGCGCAAAATACTGACTTGTTCCATAAAGCCACACTTACAGCCGATGTACTAGATGAGGGACAGAAAAGTTTACCATCAGCAGTCACTTAGGGCGTCCGATTGCCAACCCCAATGCTCATGAACGTGACACGTAGTGGTGGCTTGTGTGCAGAATGCTGTGGAGTGTCGCATGGAACAAAACCAGATTCGGCCGCCTCTCCTTATCATGTCTGCGGATCACGTAAACAGCAGACCATTCAATACTCGAACAGCCATCTACGAGGCATACATCACTCTCAGTAGTTTGGAGCCGGAACAACACAGATAAGCTCGAATGGTGATTGGTACGCGTTGCACAGTCAGGACCAAGGTAATCAGTTAGATTGCCTCAGTCTTGATTGCGCAATACGCACCAAGCACCATGCAACCTTATCTGTTCTGGTCGGGTTCAAGGGTATAGCGAAAAATCGTCACAGATCACCTGGTGTTTGCTACATGAACGGCCTTCACGTTTGAACGACGTGCCGGTCGGTCACTGCCGAGTGATAAGCGCAAACTTTGTTGGCCGACTTGCAACACCGTATGATTAGTTCCGGGGTACTTAAGTGCGACTCCGATAGAAGTGCACAACGCCTGTCTGTGTCTGGCATATCGAGAAGTATTTATACGCACCAAACGCGACCCTCCAGTCAGTCATCAGAACTGCTCTGAAAACCGGGCTCAAGATGATTGTCGATTTGGCGTCTCGCGTGGGCAACTGGCACTTGATAATCAAACGAGCGGTATTGCTGTACATCGGTTATCGTTGCATAAAAGCGCTGCTCGGGAAAAGAACACAAGCACCTGGACCGATCATGTTACCGTGGATTGGTTATATCCCGTGCTTAGGTGAGTTACAATGTGTAGTGCTTTTGACTCGTTGTCTCTAACTCCCTTGAGACTTCAGGTAATACGAGATCATATGTTTGTTTCATACGTGGGGTGCATAATAAGAATATCACCAGCGAATGCATGTATTACGGTCAAGTCGGCGGGTCTCGTTCTCCCTGAAATTCAATCAATGATCAAATGCTCTGATCTGCACATTTTTGCAACCAATGTACGCTTAGTGTAGTATGGCGAAAGGGTCACCCAGGTGTCTAAAGCTGAATCTCCTTAATTTCCCGCGCTAGCTACAGCAAGTAAGCAGGGATTCTCCCATACATTGAGCACCACTAGTACTACTAATACTGCTACTGCCAACTATAATAAAAAATAATAATGCGCGTGTTTCTCGAATATGCTAGAAACTGCCTCTGTAATAGGGACATATCACTAGCAGTGTCAGGATCACGCTCATGCATGAATGTGATATACATTCAGTAGCGTCTGCATTATTATGGTATTCTGGAACACGTGGCATTGGCTGGTGCTGAGTTTTATGCGACAACCTTTTCTAATGGCTACCTAGTCCTTAGTTAGTCTTGGTGATTTGCCTGATGAAAACCTGGTCACTAACATTTTCTGGTTCAAGGAACTTCCAAGTTTAAAGCAGGATGTTTTTACATTTGCACTGGACCTGATAGTGGCTGGTAGGCTATTCCACACAACAGCGTATCTGAAGAGAAAGAAGTTGGATGGTACAGATGTCCTGGTTCTTGGCGCAATTAGTTCACAATTTTTATTGCGAACTTTCCGGGTAAAGTTATGTTGCAGTTCTAATATACACATATTCGAGTACATCATTTGGTTTATGAGATCTTGCATGAGCATCTACTTATGTTCCACTGGTTGCGCCCAAGGTGTTTTTGCTGGCAACGCTCCTAATTGTTCATGGAAAAAAGCAACTAAGCCAACGTTTAGGGAATGAACTTTGCGGGTTTCCCTGAGCTTTCTTATCACTCATATGCATGTTCCCATAAATTATGCTGCAGTATTCAAATAGAGAATGTGTGAGTATTTTGAAATGCTGAATTTTTGCAGGGGCTGAATGTAAACTATGGCATATCTTGGCTGTAATTTTCGTCCGTTTCGGGCCTCCAGGTTTTCCTTAACCGACACGTAAAGCATACCTAATAGAGCTGATGACGGGCTGCAAAACAAAACTGGGGGCGTTGAGCGGAATAAGTTTAGTAGCAAACCGTAACTGATAAAGTCATACGACTGTCAACAGAAATTAAGGACCATTGTTCGGAAGTTTTGTCTGACCCCATACAACTTGTGTGCCGTATACCGCTAGCCTCACTTTTAGGTTCACGATTGTTGTTGCTATTTATTGGTGACCATGCAGAGGCAATTGGGTTAAGTTTCCCAATTTTTCCCACGACTACAAAATTTGGCTCAGAATTCAGGAGAATGCTGACCAGCATCTTCTTTACAGTGACTTAGACACGGTACATCGGAGGTCACTCCAAAGTTTACTGCATTTCAACGTGAGAAAAGGCTAGGTTGTCTCCATACGACACCCAATCAACTAATCATACAGGACCGGTACGCATGCACTGCAGTGGGTTTCCGTCGGACGTGACTTGGGTTGCTCCGCGCGATCCATAAAGGCCTTGATGGCTAGTAAGCAACAAGTCGGGCTACAGAGACGGGTTTTCGGACAAACACAGATCTATATTTTTCGGCAGATGCTAAGTGCTCATGTTCGTTCCCATGTCCAATACGCCATTTAAGCCTGGCATCCATGGCAAAACACGACGTTAACGCACGGGACCACCCTAAACATCAGGCAGCCAAGCACGTCATTGGAAGACGCAATCTCCAATACTACCAGAAGCTGAATTGTTTAGGTATTTAGCGGACGGTATCACCGATTACGAGGCTTCCTGACAGTAGCCTATTTCATTCTGCAGACTGACATCATGTGTGCCGCTCAGTTCTGCAACTCGGCTGTAATACAATCCTGAGAGGTCACACATTGAAGCTCGCAGAATAGTATAGCCGTCTAGAGTGCCTTAGGAATTTCTTTGCTATTCATCTATGTCACCCGTAGAATGCTCTCCCCGAATCGGTCGTGTCTGCACCGAAAATAGCCATATTTAAAAGACGCTGGGATGACGCACTCAATCACGTACACATTGTTACGTAGAAAAATATCTCCGTTTGTTATTGTCCGTTGGTGCCGTGAAACTACGCAGGTTGCAGGACTACAGCACAACAAACCAAAAGTCCCTCATACTTATAAAGCAAGTCATCTTAAACCCTATGAAGTCTTTGTTCGTTGTTCATTGACTCGAGGAGACGTAACAGTCATACGTCTACGAAAACCATACAAACGGTAATCGGGAACAAAATGCTGATGAAGCTTTATGAATCCGTAGTCTAAGAACAAACACGTGCCAATGCCAATCCGGCGGGAAAGCGAGGGTGGTTTGAACAACAAGCCTTGCTTAACATTAGCCATAGATCATTTGGCGCGCTATTTGCCATTCGGTCTGCTCGGGCAAGTGGAAATTTGGAGGATATCGTATTTCTACGTCACACTTAGACAGTTTCAAATGGAAGCATTCGTTATTCAGTGTGGAGGATTTTGCTGTTACACCCACATCACTGTAATGCAGTGCAGTGATGGGAGCAAGCCACACACACACACTTAAGTCGGATACAGTCCCAGTGATTGGAATGGCACAGGCTGACTTCAAAGTCAGCCGAGGCCACCATTGAGAGTGCGTATCCCCAACCAAGGTACATGGTGGGTACTCAAGAACCCAATATTCAGCGTTCATTATTTAATTTAAATCACTCCTCAAGGAAGGAAGATCCGTAGGACATGATGCTTGATTTACTACCTGAGAATTCCTCATCCATATATCACACCGTTTCTCGTGTGAGTTGATGCCTTCTTGAACCAGCAAGATTACGATCTGCAGTTCGTCTCGAGGGATTTCATACAAAAGCTTAATGTCGCCAGTAACTAAATATGCTCTGCCATGTTTGGGGGATATGCTGATGTTGTTCCTATAGAGTAGGAAAAGAGTGCCACCAAGTACGCTTCTTTGAATGACCTCATAATGATTGAACATGGGGAAGAGTAATGGACAGTGGGAGCAACCAGCTGGGAAAGCCTCTTTCAGGAACGAGGTCAGCCAACCCAGCAGTGTTTCCCTGATCCCAAAGGATTTGCTTTTTTCCGTAGCCGTTTGTGACGCACTTGGTTCAAGTATGTATATTTAGGAATAAAAATTATAACTACATAGCTTGTGGCAGTGGATTATGTGCTGAAGTCCAGGCAGTGCGACTGACATACAAGTACAGGAACATTTAATGAGGAAGCAATGCTAGGATATGTTACGCAGCCCAAGAGGATAGATGAAACACTTTCTTACAATCTTGACTAATTGTTCGATTACTCTAGCAATTATGGGTATTTGATCATGAGTGGACGGATTTGGTATGCTTTATTTGGTTTACCACAATTCGATTACAAGCCGCAATGGTCAAATACCAAGGTGGAGAATGGGTCCGGGCAGATCGCAGTTAGATTCCAATCCGCCAAGGTCGGTTAGCATTCCGAATGTTTCCGTAGTATAAGCTACTGGCTACTTGCGAAAGGCACTAGCGAAGATGGGTTTGATCTCCGGCATGGGACCGAAGGAATGCGCACCCACTAACGAGCCCCAGCAGGGTAAACCAATTGTCCGGTGCTTTTCTGTATGAGCAGCTAAGCTTCGCCGCATGTAATCTGACTTCGATGAACCAAATAAATTATGGATGTGGAATGGATAGGTCGGTAACCAGCTACCGTATATTTTGGACCCCATTTATCAGGAGTGGTAATAAAAGATGTTTTCCACTGGTCTTGGAGATGGCCAGATTCTTTAGAAAAGGTAAACCTTTTCAGCTAAAGCAGCCACATGTCAGGTCCCCTTCAACGTGACGACGGCTCAATTACTTATAATAACAGCCAAAAAATGAGTCAAAATGTTGTCAACTTACTTATTGTAAGCCACGCTAGCACATAACCAGAGGAGACGTGGAAGTGAGGATGAAACCTCTCGAGGGGTTACGCCACAGGGAAGCAGTTTCCCATAAAACGCTCCATGGATTAACGTACTGCTTTAGGTGAACTGCAGTCTATACCTACCATTACCCTTACTCGCAACCTCTCCATCTTTTGCTATTTTTGAGTGATGGAACATTCCTAACACTTCGTTGGCCTTATTTAAAAAAGTGAACAACTTTATCCACTATTGGATTATGTTGTACAAATGACCAAGCCACGAAATCCATCTGCTTCTCGCAAGATCGAGGAAAATACCACTTATTTATTTATAAACCCACTAGGGCTGTGTCTCCGAGTCTACAGTGTGTTGACTGTCAATGGTCCAGTTCGTCACACTGTCCAGTGTCGGACATACCTGCAGACCGAAACAGAGTAGTGAGATGTGTGTGGTCAAGAAGCCGGAACCGGTCGGCCGTACTAGTAGGCTATGTTCCTAAGCAGGTTAACACATTCACGTGAAATAGCTGTATGGCAACGGTTTCCCCAGACAAAGAGTTTCTCGTATCGATACCGCTGTTGATCAGCAGTCACAATGGACAACAGCAATGTTGAGTCTTAATTGCTAGAGATCTGGCGAGTCGGGAGAACATTGAACTCAAGCAGACGGTAACACCTCTGTCGGTAGACGAGGAGTACCGGGCGAGCTCCGGAGAGTCGATGTCGAAAGCACGTGGTAGACAGTGTCCAGGGACGATTGCGTTGACACCAGTATACAAGGCTGTATGGATTGTACATATCTCTCTTCCCAAGTGTACTTTCCTATTTCTATTTCCATTACCATTGTACAACTTTGTTTTAACTGACCAACAACCAAAAAAAACTTTTCGGGTTTCGATTCGCCTTCTGGTTTCGGCTACGCGTGTTGTGCTGTTAATCGTCGTCGGTCTGCTAGCCTCGTTCA